GAGGAAGAGGTTTTAAGGGTTGAAGTCAGTGAGATAAGCAGTGGAGGAGGAGGATGAAAAAAATATTTCAGTGCCAGCACTGGTCTGTGACATGTGGGTGGATATTGAAGATGTTATTAGTATCACATTTATGGGCTTTATAAAACTGCCACAGAGCTGGCCCGTTTTAATATATTTACAGCTGATATGTCCCACACTGTCATATGTGTTGCACTTCTAGCAGCTGCGTGGATGATCACTCAGCGATAGCAAAGCCATTACTTGCATCTCATTTCTCAGCTTTCTTTGACCCTCCTGCTGTGTTTTAGTCTACAAATGATTTCATGTATTTTTTCCAATATTCTGTCATATTTTTTTATAGCAATGCACATCTCCTGTTATTCAAGAATGCAAATTGTAGAGTTGTGTAACACAGAACACAATCCCTTTAAATTGTATGGCAATATCTTATTTGAGATAAGTAGTCTTCTATTTTATGCATTTATAAATTCAATGAATAATGTATACACAGTATACATGCATATACAGTATATAAAAAAAGAAGCAAGACCCTGTAGTGTGTAAAAAGGTTTTTGTTCTTGTTTTGTTGACAGACTCCTTCCACTCCAAATTTTCATTTAATTTATTTATTATTCAAGATTAACTCCAAAGAAAAATCTATAAAGTTTCTAATTCAAATCTCTTTAAGAGTTTATACGATGTTGAGCCTATTCAAGCCATTTACTATAGCAGGTTGAAAATCATCCAAGCACAAGCTACAATAGTGAATGAAGTGCTTGATTTTGGGAGAAACTGTGGACCTCAGCAAAGCCTTGAAGAAGAAAATCCCAAAAGATAAAAGTCTTCTTTCGAAACAGAGACTGAAAAACTCTCTAGAGATCACTGTCAACAATGTCTGAACCAGTTTGGCAAAAGCAAAACAAATTCAAAAGAGGGAAACACTGTTATGGAGAAAAGTGTTGTACCTGCCAACATGGCACATGGTGAAAATATTGCCAGAAAATGATCCAATGATTCCTTCTTCCTAACTGGAGATTTACTCTCAGACAGCCTCTCTCTGTTAAGTTTTTTTGTTTTGTTTATGAAAATATCCATTTTAACTAAAATGACACAAAATTATATTTCAGAATTTAAAGACCAGTAACAAACTATATTCTAGGGTATATAAAGCATTTCTGTCTGTCAATCAATGCAATCTGAGCAATGAATCACAATAACTATCTCGGCCTTATTGCATTTGTTAGTAAATTGTGGTAAATATTGGGTTGCAATATAACATGTTGATTAGACAAAGAAAAAATGGGAGTAATGATTTTTAGTCAATATTCTGCTGGAAAATCATACATCTCACATCTATTTTGGAGCCGATTTTATACATCCACTATTAAGGCGCTTTCACCCTATAGACACCACTTTATAGATTGTTGATGGCCATAGCTTCTTAAAGTAACAGTAATGAAAACACCACCACAAAGCAAAAAAGGGCCAAAAAGACACAAGTTGGAGGTGTTGAATTGCTGGCTTCTGAATTCCAAGACCTTAACCAATGAAGTTTTGATGAGATATAAAAGACAAATAAGTCAATGAAGACATCACCTCACCACTTGCAGGATCTAAAATATGTCCTGTAGTTATCTGCTATACATCATGCCTTGATGGATCATGACTGCATTGGAAGCAAAAGAGGAAACAAAACACTATTAAGTAGAGGTTCATAATGTTATGCTGAATCAATGAATGTTATGAAGAAGTTTGCATCCAAGTTATTTTAATTCATCTTTTATGAGAAATTATCTTTAATTTGAAAGAGGTAAACAGCCAGTAGATAAATACACAATAAAATAAAATATTAAACCCATCTTGATAATGAAAAACACACATTACCTATTAATCAGTTCCAAATGTCAAGGTTGCTTATGGATATTAGGAAAATTAGTAAGCCTAGAATTAGTTTAAATTAAATATTTTCTCTATAAATTTCAGCATTTATTGCTTGTGCTTTATTCATTTTATTTTTCTGAATCGAGGAAAATCCATCTAGATACTTCTTACATCAGACTTCGAACATTAAAATGTTTTGTACTTCACTGACTGTCTACAGTGTGGATTTAGTACTTTTCCTGGAGTTAAGAGTTAGGAATAAGAAAACATCAGATTCATCCACCTATAGCGAAACACCAGGTCTAACTCGTAATAATCAACAGTTCAGTGTTTTGAGACCTATCTTGGTGATGTCCATGGTGCTGAAAACAGAACTGTTCTGCAGCACTAGGAGAATACTAAATTTGATTTTGCAGGTTCTATCACCTTAAACAAATCTATTTGTGGAAAAACCTGCATTATCCCTGTGAGGTCATTAATCCCTGTGGTTTTAGTATTTAATGGAGGTTTTGGCGTTTTGCTTCTTAATCATTTTCAGATAATGCTAAAGCTTCTGTGTGTCCAAAATATGTTCCAACCTGAACATTGAGGAAATATACAAGATAAAAACTTCTTCTTCACTTACAGAAAGGCTGGAAGTAGAGTGCTGTATAAATCTCGATAGTCTTATCATTATCATGTGTTACTTCCAGTAACTGTTATGAAAGGAATCCTTTTATTATTTTTTATAAAAACTCTGACTAACAAGAAGTATAAGCATGCTTTGCAGCTACCAAGAGCCTCCTACTAGTCAGATAATTGCCATGTTTTGTGAAGGTCCCAAGGATATCCTCCCTACCTAGTAAATGGTTTAACCGAATGGAAACAAAAATAAATAAAAGCAATGAAAAAAATATAAAATTTTTCATACAGACTTTTGATCTAATTAACAATATCAACTATCCATAAAGAGCTTGAGCAAAGTTGTATCTAACAGCCCCACTAGCTCACTGTAATGATTGATGTGTGCCATTGAGGTGGCTTGTGGACTTAAGTGAAAAAATAGCCAATACAGCATTTTACTTGAGGCTATTGTTGATAAAAAAAACAACAACATAATAATAAAGTAAAATTCAAAATAAAAACACAACAAACTTTGAAGAAAGTGGTTTGGCCAGATGAGAAAAGTAAAACATTGACATAGGGTTGTCAAAAGTATCGATACTCAAAATAGTATTGATACTGAAACGTTGTATCCGGATACAATACTCATTTTCAAAAGTATCAATACAGTGCTACCACCAGTGGCACCTAAACAGTGATTTATATAAAGTGCAGAATAGAGGAAAACGCACTTTCTGAACACTGTGTGACTGAAAAATTCTGTACACTTTTTAGTTTCAGACTTTTTTTGTAACAGGTGCAGCTGCTGAGAATGATTTTTGTTTCTTAACCGGTTTGGCTAGTGTCATTGCTATGTGTGCAAAGCATAGCCGAGTAAGGAAAACTTAATTTAATTTTGTAAGTTTTTTATGAAGCTTGCTTAATACTGTGCACAGCAAACAACCTCAAAATGTTGTTCTTATTGTTTATTGTATTTATTTATTGTATTTTAATTATTAATCAAAATATTTCTGTTGAAATTTTGAGTTTTTTTCCTTGTGGTATCGAAAATGGTATCGAGTATCAAATATTTTCCTTAATACCCTACATTGACATGACATACAAAAGGCTTTATGATGGAAAACACTACATGCCACCTTCAGCGCACCATACTTATGATGACTCTGGATGACTCTTATTCAGGCTTATATAGATCCTATCACACCTAAAATCCAAAATTAGAGCATGCCCATACTACCCTGATAAGGCTTTTATTCTTAATGTGCCCTCCAAAATCATTAGTCCACTTTAGTAGTCAATGCAACATCTCTTTGAGGTTCCCCTTTTGGTGGAAAACCTATTCATTTCAACTATTTCATACCATCGTGGGCTCTTCTGTGATCATGTGTTGCATGAAAGGCTCCAAATACTCACTTAGGTGTGTGATTGTAAGAAGAAAAATGTAAAAAAAAGAAATCAAAAAGCAGCGCAACCCATGGGTGCTGATAACCTGATCATCTAAAATGAACGAAACTCATTCACTGCAAATGAATCAATGCATCTGCAAAGCTTTCCGTGCGAGTTACGACAGCACGGCACAATGTTTAACATATTACAGAAGGCATTTTAAAGAAACAAACCACTCCAGCTCCCCGTGACCGTGTGAGTAACATTTTATGAATATTCAACAGGGATTTAATACAGGTAGAAGTGGCAGTTTCGAATTCAACGTGCGTGAAGATGAGAGCGCGCGCTCAACAGATGGCAGAGAGGAACAGACAGGGGGGAGAGACGCTCGGAGGCTCCTTTGCACTCCCTTTTTTTTTTTCCCGTCGCGTCCCAGGTTGTCATTCTTGCTAAGCGTCACGCGGGAGCCACCTGCTTGCTTTCCCAAAGGGCGAGCGGCTGTGATGGGGAGTTTTTACGCAACGCGCGCAAAAGGTAGAGCTAAGCTTTGACAGCGGGCCACTGCGGCAGGCGCAGACGAATCGCCGCTATAGTGCAGTTTTGAAAGGGCTTTCTGTTGCACGATGCGTCGCTAGTGACCCCCCCTTCTCTTCACTTGCATTGCACGCTCTTTCATGCATCCTCTTTTAACATTCAGTGGGAGAAGGCGTCCTCTCATTCACTCGGGCGCGCAGCGGCTCACGAAAAATCGCTGTCACCAAATTTCGGACGATGAATCCTGCCAATTAGTTCTAGAGCTGGTTAATCTGCCACATAAGACGTCTATTTTAAACTTGAAATGGTAAGGTGCGCCCCTTTCCAAGCGAAATAAAGTAAACCTACTGTACCAACGCCTCCAGCGACCCTAGGATGGGAAGTGGAAATAACACCGCACGTCTGTGTGGCCACTGCGCAAAGTTCTAGCTCATTTTTATGTGCTAGAATCCTAAACCCTTGTTTCTTCCGTTTATGCACAGGGGATTTTTCAGCTGTCAATTGTCCCACCTGTGTACCATCTCAAAGATCGCACACACAGACATTAAATGAATCCACACAAAGGGAACCAAAGTTTAGATTTTAGATTCGTTTACCTGGTCGCTGTCAGCAGCAGCAGCAGTTATTTGAGGAGGATGCGATTCCCCGATCGGTTCCGTGGACACAAGTTAAGTTTCCCATCCATGGCACGTCTCAGATGGAGAAGGGGACTATTATTCATTCACGTTTTGCTGCTGCGCCTCACTAATGTTTTCCTTGAGGCATCCCACTTCATCGAGTCCAAAAAGAAAAAAAAAAAGACAGGGAAAAGGAAGAAAGTGTAAAATATAATAATAAACGGTCTAAATAAAAGATCTGCAAACGCTATGGACATGAAATCATAGAACGTGGGCAAATAAAAGAACAGAAGAGATGATTAGGTGGGCGGTGGGGGAAAGTAATCCAAAATTATAAACTAAAACGTTGTTACTGTAGATGTCCAGTTTTGTTAAAAAAAGCATAAATCCACGTGATATAATCTCCATGGTTTGGTGCAGAGAGCTGCACGACACATCCCAAATTCACAGTAAGCAGCAGCGCGGCAGCAGCAGTGGAATAACGGCTGCCCGGTGCTCCAAGTCCAAAGATGCTCTTCATTTGAATCACACGCTAAAAAACACAGAAAGAGCGAGTAAAAAAAAAATAATCACAAAATGCATTATCTGTCACTCCACAATTTTTATTTCCTCCTCCTCCTCCTCTATGTACTGGGATGCGATGCGTCGCTTGCTCTGGCATCCGGGATGAGGATCTACAGGCAGCGGCTCGCAGTCGGGCATCTGGCTCCCCTGCAGTGTCTTCACGAGCGGAGGACGGAGATGCGCGTTCTCGCTGCCCCTCTCCGCCGGGGATCCGTCAGGCGCGTTCATGATGAAACTCCCCCCTTCCTCCCCCCATCTCATCGTCCATCCTCCATCTTTTCTCTATGAACGCACACGCGCACACAGATACACACGCACATCCTACCATTAGTTACGTCAGCCCACAAAGTTTTGAAATAAAGCAAGTGTTTCTAAATGATGTCAAACACCATAAGCTCTTTAAGGGATAATTCTGCATTTTTCTTTATAACATCACCTTTGACTGCTAACATTTAAACGCAAACGCGTACAGGTTTACATCTAGACAAGGGCGTAGGTTTGATATAGGAACAGTGTTGTGTCTGATGTCGTTGGTCCTATGCAAAAAAATGCATGCTTGTTTTTTTATGCTTGATGTGAAAATCAGGGTGTATTTCGTTAAAAGAGAAAAGCAGCATTTCTTGCTACATTTATACAAATTTTATAAGCACAACACACACACTAGATACTGTTTATCAGTGACTGAAACTGATGAATGAGGAATTAGGACTTTTTTCCACTTTAAAAGGTTCGCATTTGAAATTACCAGCAACTAAGACAGAATTTAAATCTATGCCTATTTAAAAGAATATAGTCTAAATATGTCTGCTATATGTGGATTTATACTTTTTTTTTTCTTGAAGATATAGAATTGTGCAGAGGTAAACAGAGTTTAAAACCCACTATTATCTTTTAAATTTTCTCTCTGTATCATGAAACAAAGCGAAATAATAGATTCAAGGGATGGCAAATAAATGTATTGTATTTACATGAGCACTGGAACTAGAAAAGGAACTGGAACTGAGCATTTAATATATTAACTTCACTCTACAAGTTGTACATCTAGGCTGTAGTTGCTCTGTTTAACCCATTTCATGTATTTTATTTAGGACTGAAACAATTCATTGGATTAATCAATTATTGAAATAATGTCAACAAATTAATCGATTAATCGTTAGCTGGAGTATAGAGACTCTAAAACATGTCTTTAGCTCACAGAGCGACCCACTTAAAGCAGGAATTATACCAAAATTGTAAAAAAAATTGATTAACATTTTGCCTTTTAGATAAAACATGTTTTCGTCTGTCAATATTCTCCATCCAGAACTTCTCTACTGCTGCAACAACGCTTTATTGTAAATTATAAACATGTTATTCATATCTAATTGTTGGTAGGGACAAGTAGGTCGGTCCCAAATTTTGGTAGGGGCATGTCCCTATGGTCCCTATGCAAACCTACGCCCATGCATCTAGATTTGAGGCAGCTTTAATCTGATCATCATAAAGTCTAACTCAAAGTGATTGCTCACACCTTTTGAAATATTGGATCATAGGTCAACACAACATAGTCCATAATTATGAAGTCCATGGAAATCAGTTGATTTTTTTTTTTTTAATCTTTCCCATCTTAAAATTGTGGCATGTTTTTTTTTGTAAAAATTTACTCTGATATACCACTGTGTATATATAGTGCAATCCTTTGGCTTTAAAGTCAACAAAACAGCAAATAGTGTCTTTGAGTAACTTAGGGTGTATGTGAATATAGATGGTCTATGGCCATGCAGTATAACAGTCAACCTAAACTGAAATACTGCAAAAAGAGAAATATAATCAGAGAGTAAAGAGCCAAAAAGTACCTGGTAGCTCACTGGGATCTGCTGAAATAAACAGCTCAAGGGGGAGAATCTATTGACTTGACTAAAGTCATTCTGCGGAGATGTCAAAACAAATTGTACAAGTTGTACCCTAAAAAGAAAATCCTTTTTGGAAAAGGTGCTACAAGTTCAGTTTTGTTTGTTTTTTTAAGAAAGGAAAAAAAGTTATATTTCCCCTTGGGACACAGCAAACATCTCAATCAGGTCCTCTCAGTAGCTACGTTTACATGGACACAAGTAATCGGATTGAAGGCCTGATCAGATCAAAAATGTTTCATGTAAACATGTCAGACTGAAGATTCTAATCCGATTCGGTCCGATCGGATCTAAATTTAATTCCGAATGAGAGAGGTGGTTTTTGCCGATCGCCATTTCGATTGGCGTCCATGTAAACACCCATTCGGATCTGAAGAGTAAAATAATCTTCACTGCGCATGTGTGCGACGTCAGCGTGACGTTTTTCCGCCTTGTCAACAACAGGAAACCACCGGTCGCTCTCGCTCTCGCTGTGAACAACTTGGCGGGGGTAGTCTAGGAACGCCGACTTATACACTCAAGTTCATTTAAAGCTGCAGGAAGCAGGAATTTATCCTCCTCTTCCTCTTTTCTCTCTCCACAGCCCACTCGCTCTCCCACGCCGGTTCAATCGCTCATTCTCTACATTTTCTCTCGTACATTTCGCTGCCAAGCGCTTTTTTCCTCCTCTCTCCTTTTTTCTTTCCGCTCGCTCCGAGCGCATCGTTTGTCAGGCCTCCCAAAAACCAGACGCAGACAGAACTGCCAAGTTTGGCAGGAAGTTCTGCGCATGCTTAAAAGATTTAATCTGATCCAACGCTTGGTACATGTATACACACGTCATGATCGGATCATTTCATTTAGTGTCCATGTAAACGGAGATTTTGAATTTCCGATCAACCAAGGTTTGGATCGGATCGGGGAAATTTTGCGCATGTAAACGTAGCTAGTGAGAATAAATAAAATGAAGCTTTTTGGCCTTCATGAAAAATGCTTCATTTAACAGAAATTTGAAATTGCAAATCTTGATATTTCTTCCTGTTAAAAGGGATTTTTCTTCTGTCCACTGTTTCCACATGTTTGCATGGGGCAAGAGATCGGCACAAAGTCACTTACTTGATGCATGGACTGGGTTTCTTTAAAAAAGCAACTTTAACTCTTGTCATTATAAACTGAATGCCACAGATATCTATTGGTGTATTCACATTTGCCATGTTTGATCCACTTTCAACTAAGCAAATGGGGTTTATGTCAATGGAGTCTTGGGTCATTACTTTTGACCAGGTTTGAATAAAACTAAGTGAACCCTGGGGTCCGTTTCACAAAGCAGGTTTAACAAACTCAGATTAAAATGCACAACTCTTAATTGATCTAGCGTAAGGTTGGGAACTCTGAGTTTTTGGTTTCATAACGGCTGCTATGAATTAGTTCAATCAACTCTAAATAGGTCCACTCAGAGTTGAGCACCTGTGTAAGAAGTTTGGAAAGACACTATCAGTGGAGCCCAAATTCAATGAGTCACCATCATGACAGGGGACCGGAAGTGCCTCTTTCACCTTACTGGAACTGGAGATTTTAATAAAGAAATTATGAAAAAAAGAGAATGTGTTTAAACAACAAAGAAACAGCGCTACAGCTGCAATGGATAGGAAAATAGCAAAGGTGAAGGTTAATGCTCGAGTTAATGTGTAGTTTTATTTGAAGTCAGTATGGCAGGCCATTTTTACATTAATTAAAAGCCCTGTCCTCTCTGTTGTTCCATTTGTAGATCAATAACATAAGGTTATTCCTGAAAAAAATAATTTCTAGTCTGAACTCTAATAATATATTTTCAAAATTACATTTTTGCAGCAGAAAGAAAAAAAATATATATATATACATATATATACATGCTTGCACACTGTTTTTATCCACAACTTTCTTTCCGCCGTCATCGTAGGTTACTCTAAATGCAAAGCGGTCCCATACAGCAAAACTATAAAGTGCTGCTGGCGCGTCTTCCAACTCCTGTTCTTTACCCATACCCACACAAAACTCCACAACAACTGATTTTTTCCTGCTACACCCGGCTAAGCTGCTTCGCTTCTTCTTGTTTACTACTTGTGGTTGGCTTTGGTCGCAGTATCGCCACCTTCTGCTCTGGAGTGTAAATGCTTTGCCTATGAGAAAAAGGAGCAGCTCATGAACCGAACGCAACACACGCAAATCGAACCGAGACAGTCGAACCGAACGATTCGGAGGGTTTTCATAAACCGTTCCATCCCTAATATATATATATATATATATATATATATATATATATATATATATATATATATATATATATATATATATATATATATATATATATATATATATATATATATATATATATATAGAGAGAGAGAGAGAGAGAGAGAGAGAGAGAGAGAGAGCACTGTGTTACTTGCATCAAATGAGTTACTCTTGACCCTCACTAATATTTTTCTTTGAATGCAAAGTGAAGCTAATCATATCTAAGTTAGCTAACATACAGTGTACACCTGGATGAAATAAAACTAGAGGATTGAAACTGGCCCAATAACCCTATACAAACACCTGGAGTTCTCAAGGAATGTCTTAGATCAAATCATAAAGTGTTAGAATGGCCTAGTTAAAGTGGAGACACTAATCTACAACATACAGACTAGATGTGCATGTCTGTTAAAATCATAAAAATAAATTGCAGCTGTAAATACAGTAAAAGGTGGTCTCACTTAACATTTATGTGCCTCTCTGTAACAGACTGGAACATATTCATTGTTGTTTGTGGTTATAACATGACAAAATGTAAAAAGGGATATATATACTATTGTCAGAAAACTTAGCTGTGTTTCTATATGCTGTGGATTATTCTAAATTTTGAAATCCTCATACCTTCACGTCTTTTATGGCATTAAAATTCCATACACCACTTTTTTTCCCATTGCATCCTCTAGACAGTGGATGATCTGATAAGACTTTAGGGTGCATTTGCTGCATATATTTGCATAAGGATGAGAAGAAGTGATGGTACATTAGTCAACTCAAGT